CCTGGCGAGCTTGCGTGCACCGCAGCCGCGGTACCGTCCGTAGCAGAGGAGAGAGAGAGAGAGAGAGAGAGAGAGAGAGAGAGAGAGAGAGAGAGAGAGAGAGAGCTTGGGGAAGAGTGGTCACGATGAGCGAGACGTCTCTATTGGGAGGGGATCCCTATCAACGACTCCGTCGACAAGACGGCCCTTCGGCTGTCAGAGCCCCCGTCACACGCCGAAAGGTCCCGCACACCAGAAGAGTACGGCCGGTAAAGCCCCCGTAGCATGCCGTAAGGTCTCGCCAGGGGCGGGGGTGGAGGATGGGGGCGTAGTAATAGTCGTGCATGCCGGAGTCGTTAGACCATTGACCTCGTATCCCTACAAAGCCGGGACGGAGCACGCCAGGTTCTCGCCGGGCCAGGCTCTCACATCACCAAGCGCGAAGCGCCGTGAGGTATTCGGCGAGTCGCATGACGGGTGCGCTGCATCCTGCGAAGGGTGTTCGGCATCTTGTGCATACTTCCTTGCGTGCGGATGACAGCTGCGTATGACTTAATTTATTTTCTGGTGCTTTCACTTCCAGAGACAGTTATAAGCACTGTGTAACTGCCTCGAGGATGCTCGACCATTTTAACACAATAGATTGTCGTAGGCTTCGCCACGACTGCTTCCCCAATTGCTCTTTTAGTCTAGCGTGCACGCAAGATGCATATAAGGGAGTTATGCCGTGATGATCGGTGGTGAAGGGGCCGAGGAAAAGATGGAGTCGTAACCCCGAAGCGGATTGATGAAGTAGCGAGAAGAGATCCCATCACTTCATCACTGGAGACGTACATACGTATGCACAGCGCGGCTCGCAAAACTTCTGAGAAACGGAGGATGTTAGGTACTGAGGGGCGCGCACACCGCACAGCACAGCGGTAGTGATGAGCGCGGGAGCTGGATCTAAAGCGTCAAACGCAGCGGATGATTCCTTGAGGAGAGGCCACATCGGGCAGTTCGTGGTTACTGTCGAACACTTGGAGTCGCTGTAACCAAGCAACCTTGCTAGCAGCGGCAGGCGCCCCGATGGTCATGTGGGCGATGGTTTTACAGCTAATCATGGAGACTTCTTCCATGGCTATGGCCCCGTCCTTGATTTACGACCATCTTTGTGCTTTCTTCGCAGACAGACCAGTCTGACCCTCGGTGTTGTCCAAGGTCCCTTTCTTTTTCATGTCAACATCGCAGACTGAATGAACGGTAGATCTGATCAATCTGTGCAAGCGAAAGAAATGTAAGACATCAGTAGTTTAGTGTCATGAGCATTGGAAGCACGAGACGTCGTTGGGATGGATAACGTAATTCAATCTGCTACAAAAGAGCATTTGAGCGCGCACCTTATCTCGTTTAGCTTGGTTCGTGCGTGGGTCGCTACTGCCGTGGCTTTCTTCGCTGCCGCTGCTGCCTTGCTGCTGGCTGCTTTCGCTTTCATGTTAGCGGCTTTGGCAGCTTCGTGCACCGCTTGAGCTTTTTTCGTAATTTCTTCAGCGCGTCTGACGGCGGTGATTGCGCACACTTGCCGCGCACCTTCTGCGTCTACGACCCTGGCGGCGACGTCTTCGATGCTCGAGCCTGCTGTGTCTGCGAGGAGTGCTGCGCGTGCCTCCTTCGATACTTCCCGATCTGCCCCCCTGTTACCACATCCATGCCTCCATGATCTATTCTCTTCTGTTCGCGGCTTTGGTGAGGAGTTGTTGTGTCCTTAGCGCCTTCTGAGCAGCTTTGGCAGCGACGGCCTCTGCTTTAGCGGCTATGGCCGCTGTGCGGGCGGCCCTGGATGCGCCTGACCGCAAATATCTATGTAACTGCCTCGAGGATGCTCGACCATTTTAACACAACGTGGTGCAATTATCCCGTTTGCGCGGAGTGAGGGTTCTCGACCCCGTACAACATTATCTACTCGACCACCATTTGGTTACCGCCAAAAACAAAAACAGAGGAAAAAAAAAAACGGTAACCTGGTTGCCGAGTTCACGAAGTGAATTGGCTTGTTTTACAACGTCGTTGCCAAGCGACGAAAACCCAACCCCGATGGCAAACACCGAGGGGGGGCCTTGTTTTACAACGTCATTGCCAAGCGACGAAAACCCAACCCCGATGGCAAACACCGAGGGGGCGGCATGTTTTACAACGCCGTCACCAAGCGACGAAAACGCAACCCCGATGGCAAAGATCGGGGGGGGAGGGATCTCGCCAGGGGCGGGGGGGGGGTTGATAAAGTATAGTACAAAACAACAACCACTCTCAGACAAGTCGTCAGCGG